ATCGTTTGCAGCCGCGATTGCTCCGCCTGGAATATTCAAAGAAGCCGTTAAATCCCTTTCTCCATTCAGTCTAGGCGACTGTTCTGCCCTGCATCTTCATTTAAACATTTGAAGCGCGTTTCAATCCATAAGCGCGTGTTTAAGGAAAATTATTAAAGCTAGATATATTATTAATAACAAGCAATATAATTTTAACTATATCTTTCTCGTCTTCAGACAAAGTTTTTGCCGTATTTAACAATCACTTCCGTCCGTTATTGGCAATAAAAAGCATCAAGTTACAAGCATCTTCTTGTACGAAAGATTTTTTATACAAAAAAATAAATAATTCGAAATTAAATAAAGTGAAGACAAATAAAATTTAAATTTAAAAAATAATTTTCCTTACCTTTTCCATAATCAGCCATTTATAAACTCAAGGCCTAATACATTTGGTATTTTATCTGAAGCGTAAACATTTCGTAAATCTAAATTTATTCATGATATCATCAAATGTGCCTCATATCGTGCTTTATTTCGAGACATTGTGATAGGTAGAGATATTATTATTTTACGATTTCCGCGAAAAGACGGAAGAAGTACAGTTAGGATGATGAATTAACAGGGAGAAAGTGTTCATTTATCACAAGTGAGCATATTACTTATGTTCGTTGACAAATGAAAAAAGTATGAAGAAAATGATGTGAGAGGAATACCAAATATGATCACTGAACACATATAAAGACTTATTATATGTTAATATGACGCAATTTACATCGAAAAGAAAAAATATAATTTAAATTCTTTATATTTAATTGATATTATAAATTAAATGCTATTTTCCATATATTGTATTTGGAATTTTTATTTGTCATCAATTTGTTTATTATCTTCATCTGTTTTCACGCGATTAATTATTATATATTTTCAATAAAGAATTAAAAAACTTCAAAACAATTGAGGATAAAGGAGAAAATAAAAAGACTAAAAGGTAAGGTAATAAATTAATTTAACAAGAAACTAATTATAAAGAATCAAATTGATTTTATCTTCTCAATACAACATTACAATGCAATTTATTTCTTTATTATAAATTTTAAAATATTTCTGCCATTTTATTTTCAATTTTTTGTTTTTATTTTGAATTTTTACTACAAAATATTTTTATTTCAAAATTAGAAAGATATCAATCTGATTTACAGTACAATATCCGTTTCTGAAAGCAAAAGTAATTCGAGCCTGGGAGAGACAGAATTGTCTGCGACAAATTTCCTGTCCCACATGATACATCGACGCATACTTCCGTTTGCTCCAAGCTCCAGTCACCTGAAAAAGTCAAGAGGAAGACGACCCTCCGGCCCAAAGGTATGCTCTTGCATCCAGGTCGCGTACAAAGATCCTTATTGGTCGACGACGGCAAACCTCATGAAGGCTCTAGGGATCTCTCAGGAACTTTCAGGAGGGAGCTATGCCTGTACGACGTGTCCTGTATCAAACTTGGCGCGAATAGCTCGTAAGACAAATCTCCTACGCAACATAGTATGGCTGAGTCTTGTGAGCCGCTTTGAAATTCGACACCCGATACACCACATCGCCTCTAGCGTCAATCACAAACGTATATTCAAGAAAAAAGAAAGCTTTACACACGAATATTCACGTACGGCGAGAGTAGACATCGTCTGGGAAAGACGCGGCTAATTTTGCTAGCCGCCACGTCGCGTTGGGCCGGGGCGACTCGCGGTGCACGAAAATGTTTCTGGGAGGCATGCAACCGGGACGTAGCTAACGATTACTTCAACCTCCTTCGATAAACGATCAAGCTATGTTTCAACTGCATTTTCCAACGAGCCATGATCGAGCTTTTACGCCTGCGACGTTTATGGTCTGACACAAGTCGGACTATATCTACTGGATGCGTTGAGATCTTTTTTTTCTAATGAATGACAATATATTTTTCATTTCAGAGAAAAAAATATAAATCGTTTAGTTTCAAAATGTAATTTTCTAATATACATAATTCTGAACAATAAAGAAATAATATTTAATTGAATGAAACAAGCAAAATATTTATCAATATATCTTTAATTAATCTTTGAACTTTTTAAAATGAGATAAAAAAATACTTATCTTAGTTTGTATCAGAATTAAAGTAACTACTGTTTCGAAAATATTATGTTTAATTTAAATAATTAGCTATTTATAATAATGTAAAAAATAAAA